CTGGGCCCGGAGCCGCCCTGGCTCCGCGGGCCGCGGGCAACCCCCGAACCCGCCGGGAGAAATAAACCTTTAACAGCGCCTTTTTAAACCCTCCGGGACAGATAAACCCTCTGGCACCTCCTTTTAGTGCAAGCGAGTCAGTTGTTGCTTTATTCTTGCTCAAGAGGGGCGTGTGTGTCTGTGTGGCCGACTAAGTTTTCTGGCCTCCACACAAGATGCTGATACAAAACTTCATCTGTTTGTATTTTTTAGCAAACAAAGAGATTAATGTTCACTGATTCCAAATCACACAATTCGTTCATTAATTAGTATTCTGTCCTCTCTTGGTTATGGATTTCTCACTGTTCCTGCTAACTTGTATTTTTAATCTTCTGGTATCTTTTTTCCCCCCAACAGGGACTTTCCAACACAAATATACTGAGTCTTTGTTATCTTCTTCTTTACCCTCTGGTTCCTGAAAAACAACTTTATAGTCCATAAATTCTTCATTTCTTGTATCCAGTTTCAACAATACATCACTCTCTCCCAGGTCTTTCTCACATTGAGGCATAGCCAAGTTAGCTTAGCAAAACTTAAACTTTTCCAAGTTGTATTCCTCCAATACCTGCTCATGCTAAATTTTGCTAAATTTTGGCTAAAAATGATTTAACACCTTGCTTATAATTAATACACTGGTTATGATTAAATAAAACAAATTAATTTAAATTAATTAAAACCATTAATTAAAAGAATAGAAAAGTTATATAATTTCCAACAGAAGGACAAGGATCTGGTAGAGCATCATAATCTTTTTAATCTCGAATTTTATGCAGGTATTTGCAGCTGCCTCTGCTTGAGCAAGCTCCATGTCTCTGCACGGCTCCCGTCTGCCTCCTGTGAGCAGTGATAATATCACTTCCCTGCTCCCAAGACTGCTGTGAGTAAATGCATTAGAAAATTATTTGGCTGGGCTAGTCTTTCCCTAGTGCTCTAGTATGTTTGCTCCTGTAGTTGTGACAGTTGTACAACTGCAGTATTTTATAAAACACCAGGTAGAAGCAGGGTATTCTGCCCCTGCCCTGCTCAGGTAAGACCCCACCTGCAGAGCTGCCCCCAGCTCGGAGGGCCCAGCACAGGAAGGATATGGAGCTGTTGGATGAGTCCAGAGGAGATCACCACAGTGATCAGGAATGGAGCAACTCTGCTATGAGGAAAGGCTGAGAGAATTGGGATTGTTCAGCCTGGAAAAGGGAAGGCTTTGGGGTCACCTGATTCCCTAACCTGAAGGGAGATGACAAGAAAGGTGAAGAGAGATATTTTACAAGAACACGTAGTGACAGGACAAGGCAGAATGGCTTCAAACCCACAGAGAGGATTTTGACACTAGAAAAAAAAATTGTTTACTGTGAGGGTGCTGAGGCCCTGACACAGGATGCCCAGAGTTGTAGGTGCCCCATCCCTGACAATTCTCAATGCCAGGCTGGATGGGACTTGGAGCAACCTGGTCTAGTGCAACCATGGCAGGGGTGTGGAACAAAATGATCTTTAAGGTTCCTTCCAATCCAGGCCATTCTATAATCTCATGATTCCATGATCTGCTGTGACTCTCTCTTTGTGCACACTGCTGCAGGAATTACACACGCTGGTGTTGATATGCTCAACCATATACCTATACCTAACTCTGAAAGTTGTTTCTGGAACTTCTGCGTTCCCCGTTTAGTGGCTGCAATTTAAAAATCCACATTTGTAGTGCACAGTGTGCTGTCAAAGCTGAGATCTGCAGGATCTGAGCAATTTTGTGACAGCTGCAGGATGGCATTTCAGTTTCCACGGAAACTGGCACAAAAATCAAGGTGAAGTGTTGGCTGATTATCTAATAATAAAGCTGAGCATTTAAATATGAAGTTCTTCACCTTCCTTTTGCTGAGAAAACTTCTGTTCGTACAGCACCCAGCAAATGTGATAGAGGCCTCGTGTCTTCAAATTGTGGTCACAGCTTGGGCTGTGTAATCTCCTTTCCAGACATGAAAGACAAAATTTAGCCTTGACACATTCAGTCATGAAGCCTTGTCCTCTGCTTTTAAGATAAAAGGCTGATTTGTCCCCACAATTACTGAACAAACCAACACCATTTTTTATATGACAAATTACAGAGTAACAGAAGTTCTTTTGATTTACTGTGTGTTTTTCTACTGTGCATTTCCAGAACCTTTCTGTGTTCAAATGCATTTCCTTGTAAATAATTCTCATTGCATACACTTTTTATCTGCTCACACTCTTGCTTATCACCTGAATTTAATGGCTCTTTGGCTTTGCACTCACTGGCTCTTGTTTTGAGTCAGTGAGTTTGATAGTTTTGCTGAACATTCCTTTTTTCAGGTCATTGATTTCTAAGGTTAACAAAATGAATCCTCCTACTGATCCTTGCTATGTCCCACTAATCTCATTGCTATATCCTGAACTGCTCAATTACCTCTTGTCTTCAATTTCAGTTGCATTTAACAAACCCACAGATCAGTCTTTTGTGCAGGAAGCAGTTTCATATTGGATTCAAGAACATATTTGTGCGAATATTTGTCATGCTTATATTTCAATTTGCTAAGGATGTTTAAATTTTCTTGGTTAATTTGCTTCTTGACATACCCTTTTAAGAGTACTTTCTCCACAGCTTATTTTTTGCCAGAGACATCTTTCTTTTTAACCTCTATTCTTTTCTGCTCCAGAAGAAGTGTCTTCCAGTATTTGATAGTGTTGACTTTCTACTTTGCAACATTTTATCTTTTCTATCCTCCTGAATCATTTGACTCCTTTGCCATCCTTTCTTCACTCTAGGCAGAGAGTAAAAGCCAATATTCTTCTGAAGGACATTTGCTCAATAGGAAACTGGGGATTTTCTTAGGCCTGTCTTTTGTGCCTCTAAAGCCATGTCCCACTTTTTTTGATGGGGAGTTAATACCTACTTTGCCAGGTTTGGCATGATCAGTTGTATCTTGGCTCAGACATGTTGAGGAGAACAGAAATTCAAAAACCCAAAGCAGTAAAGTTCATGGCCTAACCCCCATGACACCCTTTGGATCACCTGGGTATTAATTCAAAAGGGGGCTAAGCATAAGCCTTATTCCTTCCATATGATCTGTTTCAAACTCAGATGATCCAGTTTCATGTGTCTATAACTGAGTCTGCTCTCACAGATATTGTCTTTGCTAGCAATACAATATGGAGAAGAAAGGGCTTTTTACACTTTCATTAACATGTCAAGGGGTTGTCTTTAAGTGCATTTCAACAGCAAGGGCCACATGTCTTTCACAAATGTAATAAAAGAAGCCCAAACTAAATTCTGGCTGTAGAAACTCCTGTGCAGTCTGTCCCAAGACTCTGTCACTCTGAACTGCATTTGCATATCAGAAATCTCTTCTTTCCAGTGCCCAAGGACCCTGCAGCCATTTACAAACCCCACTGACATCCCAGAACAAGTCACTGCCTTTGGCAGTGGCTCAGAGGGCTAGGATCTCAGGAATAAACAATAAAACTGAAGCTCTCAGGCACAGTGGCTTCTTTGCTAAAGAGAGGCACATTCTTAGCAGTAACTGAATATGGCTGAAGATAAGAGTTTGATACCAGAGCATTGAGAAAGAATACAAAGGACACCACTCCTGATCAACATGCTTTTTTAGAAATACCATTTGTCTTTGGAAGAAAAGCTGAAAGAAGTTCTGCTTTGGAAGGGACCTTTTGACAAAAACTTGGGTTTATAGGATTTGTTATCTTATATGGTCCTATTCTAATTGAAATGTATCAGGTTAATTAAGGGTCATGCAATTTCTTTCACAGAAGAGCTGAAGCTCTGGGTTCCTCTGAGGAAGCACAGAGGTCGAACATGTGAGATGAGTACCCCAAAAACCTCATGGTAAATCCCCTCACATTCAGAAAATTGCCTTCCAATCATTTGAGAAGCTATGAAAAAACCCAAGCCCACAATACCCACAATACCAATGCTTTAAGCAGAGGTGGGGAGAGTGTGTCACATTTAAAAAAAGAAGTGGACACAAAGGCACTTCTGTTTAAAAGCTTCCAGGGTACTCTGAAATTCCAGCAAAGCCTGGCTGAGCAGGATAGTAGGTGATAGTCTGCAGCAGGCATGGAGTTTATACAACCTTGAACATCGACTAGGAATTTCAATTAAATATGTATTGCTGAACAGCTTTGAGCCACTGGTTGTTGCATTTCTTGGAAGACGACCTTTGATGGCTAATTGGGGAGTAATATGAGATAAAAAAGAAGCATAAATAACCTAAAAAAAAAAAAAAAAAGAAAAAAAGGCTACTTATACAGATTAGAGTGATGTTCTATTTTAGAAAGTGGTGGACATGTGGAGGTTTCTGCAGGACCAAAATACTGCTAACAGGTGAGTATGTCACCACCACTGCAGTCTGACAGAAGTCCATTAGCTTAAAAAGGGGTCTTTTAAGACAGGAAAAAAGACGACATAATTAGGTAGTCTGGTTCATTGGAAACACCTCCTCTGTTTTCAACCTGGACACATCAGGTCCTTGATAGAAGAAATACACATTCAACAGTATTTTGGGTGACTTCAATTTCCAGTAATATTGTTGTACATAGGAAAGGAGGTATGTTTGTCTTAGGCAATTTTGTCTTTAAAACAGACATCAGAAGAAACAGAAATTACAAGAGGTAGTGAATTTAGCAAATCTGCACATAAAAGAATCATAAGAATAAAATGCTGCATTTACAGCTGTAAATGTACACACCTGTATAAGTTAAAAATATAAAGCTACTTTTACTGTGTTTCTTGTTCTTTTTAAGTTCAGAGAATGAAGTATTCAAGTGCTGGACCTAAAGTGGTGAACCTCATTGCATTGGCAAAACCAAACCATTCATGCAGCACCAGGATTTTGACTTAACCTAAGTGAGAAAGTTAGACAGTGCAACCAAAGTGCAATTGTGTTCTTCACAGTGTGTACATTTTGACTGGCTTGTAAAGTGGATGTAGAAGTTCATGGCTCTCCCAGGCAGCTTCTTTTGATGGTTGAAGTAAACATGATCTGCAACATACTGGGCCACAGCCTGACTTGGAATGATTAGACCGGTGTTCATCAGACAGTGGAGAAAAGTCAAAGTCAGCTACCTGGCAAAGGAACAGCACAAAGATAAGTTCTAGTTCAGTTCCCACTGGCTCAAGTCCAGCAAGAACACATTGGGTTGCAAATGGCACTTGGTCATTTTCACTCAGTCACTAACTTCAAATAGACTTCTGATTTATACCTGCTGTGCACATGGCTTACAGGCAGTGTCTCCAGAGATATATAACTTATATTTTGGCACAGTGTAAAGGGTATTAGGTACTTTCCAAAGTGCCATGAAAGCTACTTTTGATTTAAGAACTCATGCTTATTGCAAACACTTTTTATAGCAAGTGAAAATATATTAGAGATAGAAGGGAGCTGGGGAGATGAAGGCCACGTACAATTTAGGACTGCTTTAGGTAACATACCCCTCCTTTTTATTATCCTGTAACCTCTTGCACTGTCTTCTTTCTTTCCTATAACTACTCTGAGGTATATCCTCTGGAATGGATATTTCAATGCAAGCATCTGCTTGGGAATACTAACAAGCTCCCCATTATTTTTCTGGTAATTTAGAGTTCTCTGCAACAAGCCAGAAGCATGGCTGTTTCTTCTATTTGCCTTCATTGCTTGGATGTTTTCATGGAACAGATCACACATACCAGGGAAATTCTCCTTCCTGTCTGTTTTTCTGGGGATTAAAGAACCTTTCATATCAGATACCTTTCATGGCTGAAAGCTAGCTAATTACTAGCTCCAAGTGAGAGTAACTGAATACCTCCACAAGATCTTTTTGTTGTGTGTTACTTCGAAAGGATGTGTACAGCACCAGGACCAGCATCACTGAAACCAGAGCAGTGCAGAGCAGGACAAAGAAAGCTGGGTGGATTCCTAGGAAAAAGCACAAAGACACATTCCTGGAATGACACAATACTCCAGAAAGAGGCAACAGTGAGAAGGAAACAAGGAAGAAATTTTAGGAGTATTTTTAGAAAAAAGAAGGAATGTGCATAAGAAGGAATAAACTTTTCAGCCCTGATCACTCCAGGTTTTTCTGGAATCTCAGGAGTGGGAGAGGGGCATGTAAGAGTCTTTCCCTTTATGCCCTTGTTTCTCTTGAAGAGCCTAAAAACCTCCACCTAGTTATGTATGTTAGTATCTCTGTGGTCCCTCAAGAGGATTGGAAGCACTCTCACCTCCACAGCAGCCCAGAGTCTCCAGCACAGAGGATTCAGCCCTGAATGCACACCAGTGCCTTCTGGAGTGAAATGTCTTGTCTGTACACAGCTGGCTCACAGTGACATGGTGTGACCAGTCTGTGTCACAGCCTGGCTGTCCCCTGTCCTCTTCACTTGGCCACCTAACCACTCTCCCAGATGGTTTAGGGACCCAGGCGGGGCATTGACCATGCATGGGGGAGCCAGCTGGGGTCACTGGCAGGGGAGACAGAGACTTGCAATGAAATGGAGGCCTAGAAAACTCTACCCTCAAAAATCCATAACTAAACTAAGCAAAAAGAATTGAGACTGCTTAATTAAGCTGGTGTTACGCATATGTTTTCCTAGTTATCCTCTCTAACTACAAAAGCTGGACTATTTAAACTGAAAAATATTTCATTTAAGTAATACAGTCTTCCCAATGTACTTAGTGTCTTCAAGACACTCTTGGGACTAAGAGTTCAGCAGAACACAAGAAGCTCAGAGCAATTACAGCAGGCACATTATAAATTCTCATTCCCCTTTTTATTCCTCTCCTTTTAGTGATCTACACCACATTCCTGAAACCTCATCTGCAGGCTGGATAGTCCTCGTTCGTCCCTAACCTGTTTGGGACTCTTCGTGCTGCTCAGACTCCCTGGCTCTCACCTGCCGGCCGCACTCGGATCCCGTGGTAGGTCTGCAGCGCTGTCACGCCGTTCTCCACCCTGACACTGAGGCAATACTGTCCCGCGGCCCTGAAGGTGTGGCTGAGGTTGTAGCAGGAGCCACTGATCTCCACCAGATGGCATTTGTCACCTTCAAGTGGAATGCACTCGGATTTTATAAGCCAGCATAATGCTAGTGGTGGGCTGAAACGACAAGAGCAAAAAGGTAAAATAAAAAAAATAGGCGAAAACTTTGCAAAAGTTTCAGAGAAGAGCTTGGTTAAAATAGCAGAATAATTTTGAAATTAATGAAGTTAATTTAAATATAAATAAAGAAATAAGCAACTACACTGCTTGTTTCATAGCATATACCAAATAAAAAAGTTCTTTGTGATGCTTCTATAAAGGCAGGTCTTTCAGCTGAGAACTGAATACCTGCAAGGGTCATCAGGCCACTGTGTGTAGAAAATTCCTTAGTCCTTCTTCAATAAAGATTAAAGGAATATTTTTTCCTCCACTTCCAAGGGAAGGTAGTTTTTTCTTTGTCCTCACACAGAAATCACTCTCTGTACCACTGAAGCACACCAAAGACTGTTCTAATAAAAAAAACCCTGAAAATGAAACTGGAAAGAATATACTATGAGCTCTGCACAAAGGACTAATAACAGAAAAATGTAAGTAAATTTCAAGTATTACAGCAATCCCTTACATTAACAAAAGGGGTTTTATTTGTTAGCAAGCAATTTAGTGCAATCCACTTCATTGCCATGTGGCTTCTCACCACATCTAATTGAAAGCTTTTATTTAACTTTCCAGATCCCTGCTTCAACTGATTCTTCTTGAACTCACCTTATGCACTATGGACTTTGATTCTGACAACAGACAGAGCTTTTCTTTACCCTATTTTATCAGTATTTTGTTTCTTATCTCTTTATGACATTCTTTGCTAAAGAAAACATCTTGTTTATGTGTTTAGCTCATTTTCTAGCTTTGTTTTTGATAATCCATCTCTTTGTCACAACATCTTTATCTTAAACTCCTCTTGCATTAGCCCCTTGCATTAGTCCTGTGACTAGGAGTTCAGCATGCATACTCTTAGTGATCTCAGGTTTGCCTGTCATAGTTTTTGGCTGTTCACATTTACTGGGATGCCATCTCCAGTTCCAATTCCTGACAATGTGCCTTTCACTTTCTGAATGCAAACGGTGCTGCTTTGTATGTTGGGACTGTTTATGCCTTTGGTAAATATTTGGGTGCTGCTCCCTTCAAAACTCCCATGTGTTCTAATATTGTGACTTGAGAGAGCTTGTGCTAGGATTGAGGTGCTCACAACTCTCCTATTTCTCATTGATACTTGCTGCATGAGGCTTCTATGTCACATTCATCTTGTGGAAACCTGAACTTTGCCAGAATTGCTCCCCAAACCTATTAATCCCCTATGGCAGTCAAGCTTTGCTGCTGTGCAATAGGGTTTGGAATATATTTCAGTGTAATAGCAGAGAAATTGGTGAAGGAGAAAAGTTCAGAAATAAGTTTTCATATGTATTTTCCCCCACTGTTTCTCTGTCTACTTGTCTTTTAACATTTCCTTTACAAAGACTGAAAAAATATAACATTTGCTTTACATAGAAGGAGTCTACTTTTCTGTAAAGATGCAGGGTCTTTCAGGCTCTTAGAGCTCATTGTATTTCAAGTCAGGAAAATGCAATATTCAACAGTAGTTTTTGGGGGGAAGGAGGTAGTTTTGGTTTTTTCAAATAGTTGTTCTGCGGGGTTCAACTGACTATTTTTAGGAAACACTGGGGAAAAACACTTAAAGAGACAATTTTGGGGGGAGAAAGAAGTTGTGTTTGCTACTCACGTGCCATTGATATGAAGGGATAAATTCAAATTTTCCATTACATGAGTCTCCCTGGAGCCCACTATGTTAATACTTTTAACAGCATCTGAGAAGAAAGGAAAAACCAGCATGTCACACTCCACATGTAAAATTGAGTTTTACTGGTTTCCCAGTGAAGGTTTGTTTCCACAGACTTGCAGATTTGAGCTTTGTCAATCACAAATAATACTGTTTGACACCCCAAAACGAAACCTATCACTAGAGACGTAGTAAGTTTTCTGACTTTTTGTCTGATTGCTTTTTAGTATGTATAATCAGCTTTATTAATTCTTTAAATTTTTAATTCTGTGTTTATTTACTCCTGAAGCTGATCAAATCAATGAGACTTTCCTAATGCTTTAACTAATTTAACTAATGATTTAACTAATTTATTGTTTAGGGATAGCTGGTATAAATTGAACAATCAAATCCACCATAAGTTACCACAAATACTTTATTGTTTGAATTGAATGTGAGGCTTTTACAAAAGACAGTAAAATTGTCTGTAGATTAAAAAGAAACTGAAGATTTTATCTGTTTCCACACATTTTTCTGCCCTAGAAGAGCGCGAGTCAATTCTGCAAAGGAAACACTTCACTGCATGATGTTGTCCAGTCACTGCATGTGAAACAATGTTGAAGTTGTGTTACCATGTCAAAGCTAGATTGTATCGGTACATTCCGGGCTAGTTCTGCATTGAAAGTGGAAAATGCTTCATAATTACCCAAGAGCTCCAGAGCTGTGGTAAAATCACCAGTTTTCTGCATAATTTCTCTTTCGTGTATGATGCTTCCAATTTGCTCCCATTCAGCCACGACCTTCAGATGCACTGTGCGATTCCCCAGGGAGGAGCAGTTGCAGTAGACAAAGGGTTCCTTGGTAATCTGGTAAACTCTGTGTGCAACAGGAAAAGATTTAGAATCAAAAATGCCTTTTGCCGAGTGCTTGCATACTTCTGGTTTAAAAAGGGACAAGCTCTAATATATTTTCTTTACAGACAATGCTCCAGTGGCTGTGATTCTAATTCTACTTTATGTCCATATAAATGAGGATTTATGTCAGTGGTATTACTTATAGAACTACAATTAGTACAAGATTCAAAGTAAATCCCTCCATTTTTAATTAAAGAAACTAAAGTTAATGCTAAAAGAATTCACAAAATTGAATAGGAATAGTCAGTAAATTATGAAAACAACTTTTATAGCAGGCAGACTAATTTAATTGGGATTTTTCTCTAGATGAACATCTAAATCAGAGCCATCTTGAATACTCATTAAAGCAAACAAAGTAAGCACACCTACCCATCTCCAAAATCCCAGTTGTAGACGAATGATGCTGTCTTGAAGTAATGACTTGGGTCATGAAGAGAGAAAGAAATCCGGGTCACTGTGTCCATGGAGGAACTAGGACCATGTGTGGTAACTCTGCTGTCTTCTATCTGGGCAATGGTGAGGTTCCCTGTGATAAATTCTGAAGAATAAAAAGGGGGAAGTAGAATGATAACATATGTGACAGAAGAATAACAGCAAGTATGACAGAGGAATGATAGCATGTTTCCACAGCATGCTCTGTGTGTGTATGAAAGCATTCTTTCAGATGTATTCTGACAGTCTTTCTGTGTCCTAGTCCAAGTAGTTTAGTGTATTTTATGTTTATTACTCAGTGATGTTATGTGTGTGAATGAGGCAGTGAAATTAAGATATTTATTTAGGGTTATACAATGGGTCATGATAAAATATCCAGTAGAAGTAAGGGAAATAATCCTGGACTGATTGAGCTCAATATAAACTTTTACTATTGATTTAAAAATAACCGGTATGAATACCAAGCATCTAGATTCAGAATCAGGTCAGTACACATACTCATCATGTTTGGGATTGTGGCTTTAGTTTGCTTTGTAGCGTTTTTTAATGTAGCTTTTTTCCCCTTAGTTTTAGCTGTTTCTACAGAAATTAAGATTTGACTACTGTGAATTACAGATGTGCTATATATTGTGAATACAGAAAGGGGGGAATGTTTTTGTCTATGAGAGGTTCTATGTTGGGCAATGAGTGGCATGGACTGATCTAAAAAAATCTTCTCTAACCTACAAATAGAGAGGTACTATGATGAGACACTTATCAGCTCATTATAAAATTAATGAGCTATTGATTGCCTGTAACAGACTCTTATCCTGTTAACAATTCATTAAATCTGGTTAACAGTTTTCTTGGTGATGCACAAATAATAATTGCAATTACTGTTGGAATGGGGCTGTCAATCCCTGTATCAGAGATTAGGTTAACCATACCAGTATTCCCAGAAAACTGAAATTGCAGTTAGCAACATTTAGAAATGCAGCCATGACTTCACATCCAATTTCAGTACACTCAGACAGAGCTTTAGAAGAAAATGTAACCCTCTGTTGTGCTGATGGCCTAAGATTTGCTGTGTCATGCAACAGGGAGAAGCAGCAGATTGTCACTGCTGATGGTCATCCCACTTTAGATCTAGAAATGCTGGGAGGCAGTAGAAGAAACATTGTTTTTGGAGTCTGGGCACCACTGGCCCATGCTGATGTGTCAACTGCAGCTGCTGAAACATCTGGTTTCTAGTTCAGTGTCTCTAAGTGACAGAAGCAGGAAAACACAGACAGCATCACACTTTCTTCCTGGATATAGAGAGACTAGAGTGTGGCTGTAATGGTACAAATTGCACCATGCAACCCAAACCCACCTTCAGCCACAGGGCTAATCAAATTCTGTTGCCAGAAGCCATATTTACACTGTCTTTTTCCCTGACGCTAGCAAGGGCACATATATCCTGAGTTCCTGGAGAGGTACAGGTTGTAAAGCCATTTTACCTGTAATCTGAAGCACGGTGTTGTTTCTTGCAACCGGCTGACACAGCCAGCAGTTTTTGTGAGTCACCCAGACAGACACAGGGAAAGTGCCAGGAAATTCACCAGTCACATTAATTACAGAATTAAACTGCTGCTCAGATTTCTCTAACAGAATCAGAGGAGCATAAATCCAGTTAAAGTGATACAAGTTTGATGTGGCATTTTCATTCTTCATTCTTAGGCTGGCCTGAACAGTAGCTTGAGCTCCCGTTGTGATGGGGCCATTGTTGGTTATTTCCAGACTATATAACTCTGTGGAAATCAGAAGAAAATGAATAAACCAAACCTTGTTCTATAGAATTTTAAATTTCATTTATTTATTTATACATTTTAACTAGTCAGCTCTAGTTATGTGACTCACAGTGACACTCATCCCAGCAAAGACTTTATCACTGTAATTTTTTACCATTTAAATATCTGGAACAGAAACTGTTGTATGTGTATATGAGTTCAAATAAATAGCAGTAAGCAACATGTCAGACTGGGTCCTAGAAATGTTCATAGTATAAAACAGCTTCAGTCTAGAACATCACAAAAGCTTCGATGAGGTTTTACACCCAGAGCTGGATGCTGGCTGGAGGTTTATTGTCACTAATGATCTAACATGATCACTAGACTTCCAGCTACAGGAAGATGCTCAGCTCTAATCACTGTCTTAAAAAATGTAAACTTTCAAACTCAGGTGAAATTTCATTCACCAGACTCCTTTACCAGCTCTATTGAAAAGTTTCTCTAACTTTCCTCATAAGTAAACACAAAAAAACTCAGTAAAAGCATTTTCTGTGCTATGGTCCACCTTGAATTTCCTTTTCCAGGAAAGGACCAAAAATCCCAAGGCAAATTAAAGTTGTACCATGCTCTAGTGGATGATCAGTTGCAGTCCAGAGGGGCCTGGACAAGTTCAAAAAGTGGGCCCATGGTAACCTCGTGGGGTTGAACAATCTTGAGTGCAAGGTGCTGCATCTGGATTGGGGCAACCCTGCTATTCAGTACAGGCTGGGGGATGAAGGGATAGAGAAGGACTTGGGGGTACTGAGGATGAAAATTTGAACTTGAGCCAACAATGTGCACCCAAGAAAGATACGAGACTGCATAAAAATCAGTCAGCAGGTTGAGGGAGGTGATGTTTCACAATGAGGGTGGTGAAACACTGGTTTACACTGGTTGCCCAGTATAAACATTCAAGGTCAGGTTGGACTGGGCTCTGAGCTGCCTGATCTAGTTGAAGATGTCTCTGCTTATAGCTGGGGGTTGAACTTAGGTGACCTTTAAAGGTCCCTTCCAACCCAAACCGTGCTGTGATTCTTCCAGACATCAAGACATGAGAGGTGCAGGACCCGTGATACTGAACCAGCTCTGCTGCTCTGGATGACTCACCATAATCTTCTCTTATGTTTATTCAAATTACTTATTTCAGATCTTGAAACTACTGAAATAGGCAGTGTTGAGTTTTGTGGAAAAGATGCATTAAATTTTTTTAAAAAATAGTAGTGCAGCAGCATTAAAAGATGTGTATGTGTTAAATAACAAAATCAACCCCCAAGCCCCAAAACAAATGGAGATGCAAAATAGCTATGGATTTGGACAGAGCTGGGAACAGGATCTGGTTGCTTGCCTCCAACATGGAGCATGTTCCCTTATCAGAGCTCTGCCTGCTCTCCTCTCATCAACAGTGCTGGGCAGAGCAGCAGAACTGTGGGATTCTAATGCAGGTGCTT